TATATATATATACAGTATAATTATTGAGTGACTCCAAAAAATTTGAGTCACTCAATTCTGTGGAAAAAAATTATGGAATCACACTGTGAATTTTCATTACCAAAACTAATACCTGCATCAAATTAGATCTGCTCGTTAGTCTGCATCTAAAAAGGAGTAGGGTGGCCGGGCTCAGCCTTAGAGATAGGGTTTGGAGCTCTGTAATCCGGGGTGGCTCAAAGCAGACCTGCTGCTCCTCCACATCGAAAGGAGTCAATTGAGGTCCAGGCATCTGATTAGGATGCCTGCCTCCTGGATGCCTCCCTTTAGAGGTATTCTGGGCACAATCCACTGGTAGGAGGCCCCCGGGGAAGACCTAGGACTCGCTGGAGAGATTATATATCCTCTCTGGCCAGGAAAAGCTTCAAGGTCRGCCCAGGATGAACTGAAAAGTGTCGCTAGGGAGAGGGATGTCTGGGTTTCTCTCCTGGATCGATTGCTTCCACGACCCAACTACGGATAAGCAGAAGAAGATGGAAATGGAGACCATTTATTACACGCAGCCTCTGTGATCAGATTAACAAACTTAGAAAAACGCTCCTTCTGGGACTTTAAAAAAGGACGCATGCCCATTAATCGCTCCACTGCTCCACTTTCTTGAATCTTCTTGAAGTTCTCCCACTTCCTGATCTGAGGCCCATGGCTCTCGTCACCTAGGAAGCTCAAACTTCAGCCCTACAACTTCTCCTGGGACTTTCCTTTTTCACCTGTCGTTATGTTCATGTTTTCTATGTAACTTTTGTTAGAAACGTTTGCCAAAGTTTAATGCGCCAACCCAAACCCTGGGTTTGGGTTGCAAAAAAGAATGTAGACCACCTTCAAATTCCTGCAGTGCACTGATTTGAGATGCTGTCTCATTCTGAGCAACCTCCACCACCAGCCTTCCCTACTGCAGGACAAGAAGGTCACACCGCCACCTGCCCAAGTGTCTGGCATCCAAACCAATCTACGGATTTCCCTGGAGAAGTACCTTTTCTTCAGCGAGATCCCTTCGACAGCTAAGTCTTTGGTACTAATACACAGCAGGACGTTGACTCGGTAGGGCAAAACATTTGTTTATTTGCTGGTGACAAGGTGCTTAGAGCATTTACTGGTCCCATCTTCCAACAAGTCTTTTGGTATATATATATAT